TGGCTTACGCAACTCTGCAATATTGCGTGGACATCGGGGGAAGTTCCCCTGGATTGGCAGACCGGGGTGGTGGTTCCCCTATTTAAAAAGAGGGACCGTAGAGTGTGTTCCAACTATAGGGGAATCACACTCTTAAGCCTACCTGGTAAGGTCTATTCGGGGGTTCTAGAGAGGAGGGTCCGTCGGATAGTCAAACCTCGGATTCAGGAGAAGCAGTGTGGTTTTCATCCTGGCCGTGGAACACTGGACCAGCTCTACACTCTCAGCAGGGTCTTAGAGGGTGCGTGGGAGTTTGCCCAACCAGTCTACATGTGCTTTGTGGACTTGGAGAAGGCATTCGACCGCGTCCCTCGGGGAACCCTGTGGGGGGGTACTCTGGGAGTATGGGGTACTGGCCCCTTTGATAAGGGCTGTTAGGTCCCTGTATGAGCCTGGTCCGCATTGCCAGCAGTAAGTCGGGCTTGTTCCCAGTGAGAGTTGGACTCAGCCAAAGTTGCCCTTTGTCACTGATTCTGTTCATAACTTTTATGGACAGAATTTCTAGGCGCAGCCAAGGTGTTGAGGGGATCCGTTTTGGTGGCCTTAGGATTGCGTCTCTGCTTTTTGCAGATGATGTGGTCCTGTTGGCTTCAACAGATTGTGATCTACAGCTTTTGCTGGAGCGGTTTGCAGCAGAGTGCGACGCGGCCGGGATGAAGATCAGTTCCTCCAAATCCGAGGTCATGGTCTTGAGCCGGAAAAGGGTAGAGTGCCCTCTCCAGGTCAGGGAGGAGGTCCTATCCCAAGTGGAGGAGTTCAAGTATCTTGGGGTCTTGTTCACGAATGAGGGAAAAATGGAGCGTGAGATTGATAGGCGGATAGGTGCAGCATCTGCAATGAAGCAGGCGCTGTGCCGGTCTGTCGTGGTGAAGAGAGAGCTGAGTCAAAAGGCGAGACTCTCAATTTACCGATCGATCTACGTTCCTACCCTCATCTATGGTCATGAGCTTTGGGTTGTGACCGAAAGAATGAGATCTCGGATGCAAGCGGCCGAAATGAGTTTTCTCCACAGGGTGTCTGGTCCCTTAGAGATAGGTTGAAAAGCTCGATCATCTGGGAGGGACTCAGAGTAGAGCCGCTGCTTCTCCACATCGAGAGGAGCCAGTTGAGGTGGCTCGGGCATCTGTTTAGGATGCCTCCTGGACGCCTCCCTGGTGAGGTGCTCCGGACACGTCCCACCGGGAGGAGGCCCAGAGGAAGACCCAGGACACGCTGGAGGGACTATGTTTCTCGGCTGGCCTGGGAACGCCTCGGGATTCCCCTGGAAGATCTGGCCAAAGTGGCTGGGGAGAGGGAAGTCTGGGCCTTCCTACTTAGGCTGCTACCCCTGCGACCCGACCCCGGATAAGCGGAAGAATATGGATGGATGGATGGAAAAAAAAAAATCACCTTTGGAATATTTTTGTTATAGCAGCTCTTCCACTGGTAGAAGCTCTGGCAGTGGAAGCAGAGCCAACAGCAGCACTGGGTGTCCGGTGGAATGAAAAGCGGACAGGCTGGTGTGAACCTCCTGCCACAGGTTCCTCAAAGCCTTAGCCATTTACCTCATAATGACCTCTTTCTGTTAGGCTGATGGTGATGAAGTGGCCGTCATCATGAGGGAAAATAGCCACATTGCTGTCATCCATAAGATAAAGACTGGTGCTATTTTCCTGTTGGGGAACAAGATTACTACAATAAGCTGAAGGAGACTGGGTGTATTTGTAAAAAGTTGTTCATTTGTACAACCTGGGTTAGATTTAAAAACTAACATTTTTAACATAGTTTTGTGTTTTTATTTTGCTTTTTGTGTAAAAGGTTAGAATAATTTAACTGTTTCTCTTGGTTTTTACTTGTTATTTAAGATCATATTTTGCTTGGTTGCTGGTCAACTTAAGTATGTCTGCCACTCATTTTATATTTATTTTTATATATTATAGTATGTGTGATGTAGTTCTATGCTTTGTGCTGTTTCACTGTGTACTGACAATACAATTAATTCATTTATTCTTTACTAGACCTACTATCAGTCAGTAAAGGAGGAAACAAAACAAACAAAAAAAATTTTTAGTCAGCAAAAATTACAGTTGATATCAATATAAAAAGGGCAGCACGGTGGCGCAACTGGTAGAGCTGCTGCCTCTCAGCGAGCAGGTCCCTGGTTCAAACCCCGGTCCAGGGGCCTTTCTGGGTGGAGTTTGCATGTTCTCTCCGTGCATGCGTGGGTTTTCTCCGGGTACTCCGGTTTCCTCCCACAGACCAAAAACATGCATGTTAGGCTGATTGGTAACTCTAAATTGTCCTTAGGTGTGAGTGAGAGAGTGAATGGTTGTTTGTCTCGTTTGTCTCTATGTGGCCCTGTGATGGACTTGCGACCCATCCAGGGTGTACCCCGCCCCTCGCACAGTGATTGCTGGACATGGGCACCAGCGACCCCCGTGACCCAAAATGGAATAAACGGGTAAAGAAAATGGATGGATGGATCAATATAAAAATACTTTACAAATCATGTCTAACTGATGATTAATTTAACGTATGATTTGTGAAAACTGGTAGGTTAAATTTGAACACAGATTACAAAGATTAATCTAAGGACTTGCCCAGTAAAATTTTAAACTGAAGAAACTTCTATTAGCATTTGTGCAAATAAAAGCTAATCGCTGGTACATGTACAGCATGTGCACATGCTAACTTTATCGTTTAAATATTCGTGGTTATACAGCCGCGCCAGTCTGATGTTTAAAGTTGTGTAAAAATGTAGTGAAAAACATCTTCAGTACCTGGAAGATCCTGCTGATTTTTTCCGTCGTCTTGTCTTCATCTTTAAGCATAACTCATTTGTTTCCCTTGAACAAAACGTAGCTGTCCATCTCTACGTTGGCTACGGCCACCATTGTGTGTTAGCTATGGGGTTACCAGGGCTCTGACTGTATGTATCAACCATCAGAACAACTTCCGGGTCACACATTTGATAGAAAATAAATAACACCAAATAAGTCCGCAGGACAGTTTTCCAAAGTTTAATTTTTGATTTCAGGTTAAAGTCAAAAATGCAGAAAACAATGACGATATTGTAGTTTTTGAATCGCACATAAAAATGAAAAATGAAATGACAAGTCTTTTTTTTTTTTACATTTTGATTGTCAATGGAAAAACAATTGAACAAAAGGTAAACGAACCCCCTTTAAATGAAGATGGACATTTACACATTTTCACAACTTCTTGGAATCGGTTTAATATAATATTATGGTTTTCGTTACACTTCTTGTGCAGTTTAAACATCAACACGTAGATGTTTTTGGAGCACAGATTATTTCAAAGTTATGTTGCACCAGTGGCACCAGAACCCTTCAGCCTTCCTTTAGAGATGTTTTCATTGTTTCTGCAATAAATCAAAATTTCTGTTTATTATACCATAAAATGCTCCATATCAGTCAAATCACACAAATATTTTCTTTCTAAAGGTATGCCATTTGTGCAACATGTAAAAAGCCCACGGCCTGGTTGAGCTATAAAGAGATAACCAATGTTTTCAACAGAAGACACTTTATTCTCTGAATACAAACTGTGTGAGTACTGCTCACGGACACAAGTTCTCAAAATCATATCAGTTTTATTTGACACTAGCTTATGTTCAAAGAGAGCCAATAAGAACCAATAATAACAATAAGAACTAGTAATAACTAATGATAACAATAATAATAAGTGATACAATAACCAAGAATAACAGATATTAACCAATAAGAACTAATAATGACAACAACCAGTAATAAGCAGTAATAACCAGCAATAAACATTAATAAGCAATATTAAGCAGTAATAAGCAGTAATGGTACTATAATGAAAGAATAGGATGCAGAACAGATAAACATAAATAGCTTCAGAACATTAAAACAGTTCACAAGACAATTCAAATACAATATAAATGAAAGTTTTAAATTGTGAAGTTGCAGCTGTTCTACCATCTTGAGGCAGCTTTGGATGAGTGTTAGAGCAGCCGTCCTCCAATGGGAGAGTTGGTGGTTCGATTCCACAAGCAGTCACATGTTGACGTGTCCCTGGGCAAGTCCCTGAGCCCCTCTGGCTCCGATGTGTGTCCAATAGGTGTATAAATATGATCTAAAGCTCTAATTAGTCTCTACAGATTCAGATTAGCTTTTGTAGAAATGTAGTAGAGCTCTGTGTGAATGTGTGCGTGGAGGTAAAGGAGGGCACACATTGTGCTGTAAAGAGCTTTGAGTGTCTTGATTAGATAGAAAGGCTCTATGTACTATAATTTACCATCATCCAAACTGAGGTTGTGGTGGTGTTACCATGGTCAGACATGAAAAGTGGTGACTTGTTTACAAAATGAAAATTATTACATACACGTTTTAACCTGATGAGAAATGATCAATAGAAGTGTTTTAATCAAACTAAATGAAGAGATAAAGTCCCCTGATAACTATCATATTGTCTAAATTAATTCCAGTAATTGCTTTAATAGACACACTAAATGTAAATGATAATGGTAAATGGACTGTACTTATATAGCACCTTTCTATCTTATTTCAAGATATTCAAAGCGCTTTACACTACAATCTGTTTCCTCATTTACCCATCCACACAGCACTCTACTAGATCTCTACAAAGCTAATTGAACAAATCATTCTAAAGAGACTAATCCGAGCTTTATCACATTCAAACACCAATGGGACACACATCAGAGGCTATGAGGGGTTCAGTGTCTTGCCCAGGGACACTTCGGCATGTGACTGCTGGTGGATTTGAACCCCCAACTCTCACATTTGAGGACGACTGCTCTAACCGCTCAGCCACAGCCGCCCCTAAAATGTCTCTGCAGTAGACGGTCTTTAACACTACCTTCCAATAAATGACTATCTGCATCAACAGAACCATAAAATTCAATATGGTCATTTCTAACCCAACATTAGCAGGGTGTCATTAAATATATGAGACATTTAGGGGTAGGGGGTGGGGGGTGGGGGTGGGTGGGGAGGAGGCAGTGGTTCAGTGTTTTGAGTAGACATCACTACAGAAAACATTATAACAGGCCAGCTCTTCTCTCAATACTTTTAGAAGGTGAAAAGGAGTCAAGATGCCAGTCCACCCTGAAAAACAAAAGAAAATGTGTCATCATTTGTTGTAAAGAAAACTTTTCAACATTATCAGAGTGGACAGATGGTATAACACAAATGAAATAGTTAAAATCTTGGGTTTCATCAAGATTATTATTATTTTTTCTCTCTTTGTCCTCTGGTGAAACCAGATGCGTCTCCCTGGTCTTCCACCCCACACCCTTCCCTGCTTGCACTCTTTTGTCCTGTGAACCTTTAAAAAGCCTAATTTTTTTCTTTCTGCATACCGCTTAATTCAAAGGATCAGCTGGTCTCTCAACAAAATTGATCAACTTCTCCCGACAGGAGTCAGGGCATAAGGAGGACCCTCTTATCTCGATGGAAACAAATTGGATTCATGATGACAACTGTTTTTTTTTTGTTTTTTTTTTGCTGTTTGGCTGGTGAATTTTGGATTGTCTATAAATTTGTGTGGATGTGTCGAAACTCGACAGCACTCAGACTGAATTTGGGGAGATGCAGCAGGGAGCTGGAGCAGGCTGTTATCAGAACCATGAACTTTGTGGCAGCACCCATGAATGGTGGAAATAATCTTGGAGAATGTTGCGAGCTCGACTTTTGGCGTAAAGGATTAATTCGGCTATTTTGGAGTTCCATCAGAGGAATGTATACCAGCGAGACTTTAAAAAGGCAGAAACAGCAATTCACGAGTTCTGCCTGACCCAAACTGTGACCTTGACGCTGGACTTATCTCAACTCCTCCTGGCATGTTTGAAAACAACAAAGATGCTTGCACTGTCTCCTCACCACTCCATTCCCCAAGGCTGTGGACATGTGACAGAGCCTCAACCGAGCTGATGATGAATGACACCTCCTATCTGGACAATGGCTTAGAGGGGGCTCTGGACTATGCTACGACTTTCCCTTAAAAATTCAGTGTCTTCACCGGCTTACAAACCGGATTCCAAAAAAGTTGGGACACTAAACAAATTGTGAATAAAATTGAATGCAGTGATGTGGAGATGGCAAATGTCCATATTTTATTTGTAATATAACATAGATGACAGATCAAAAGTTTAATCTGAGTAAATGTAACATTTTAAAGGAAAAATATGTTGATTCAAAATTTCACATTGTCAACAAATCACGAAAAAGTTGGGACAAGTAGCAATAAGTGGCTGGAAAAAGGAAATTGAGCATATAATGAACAGCTGGAAGACCAATTAACACTAATTAGGTCAATTGACAACATGATTGGGTATAAAAAGAGCTTCTCAGAGTGTCAGTTTCTCTCAGAAGCCAAGATGGTAAGAGGATCACCAATTCCACAATTGTTGCACAGAAAGATAGTGCAGTAATACCAGAATGGTGTTACCCAGTGTAAAATAGCAAAGACTTTTAAGTTATCGTCATCCACCGTGCATAACATCATCAAAATATTCAGAGAATCTGAAACAATCGCTGTGCGCAAGGGTCCAGGCCGTAAAACTCTACTGGATGCTCGTGATCTCTTGGCCCTTAAACGTCACTGCACCTCAAACAGGAATTCCACTGTCAAGGAAACAACAGAATGGGCTCAGGAATACATCCAGAAAGCATTGTCAGTTAACACAATCCACCGTGCCATCTGCCGTTGCCAGCTGAAACTCTACAGTGCAAAGAGGAAGCCATTTCTAAGCAAGCTCCACAAGCTCAGACGATTTCAATGGGCCAGGGGTCATTTAAAATGGAGTGTGACAAAATGGAAGACTGTTCTGTGGTCAGATGAGTCACGATTTGAAGTTCTTTATGGAACACTTGGACGCCATGTCATCAGGACCAGAGGGGACAAGGATAGCCCAAGTTGTTATCAATGCTCCATTCAGAAGCCTGCATCACTGATGGTATGGGGTTGCATGAGCGCTTGTGGCATGGGCAGCTTGCATGTCTGGAAAGGCACCATTAATGCAGAGAACTATGTTCAGGTTCTAGAACAACATATGCTCCCATCTAGACGTAATCTCTTTCAGGGAAGACCCTGCATTTTTCAACACGATAATGCCAGACCACATTCTGCAGCAATCACAACATCATGGCTACGTAGGAGAAGGATCCGGGTACTTAAATGGCCAGACTGCAGTCCAGATCTTTCACCTATAGAGAAGATTTGGAGCATTATAAAGAGGAAGGTGCGACAAAGAAGGCCCAAGACGATTGAACAGTTAGAGGCCTGTATTAGACATGAATGGGAGAGCATTCCTTTTTCTAAACTTGAGAAACTGGTCTCCTCTGTCCCCAGATGTCTGTTAAGTGTTGTAAGAAGAAGGGGGGATGCCACACAGTGGTAAAAATGGACTTGTCCAAACTTTTGGGATTTGTTGACGTCATGAAATTTGGAAACAACAGATTTTTCCCTTAAAATGATACATTCTCTCAGTTTAAACTTTTGATCTGTGATTTGTGTTTTATTCTGAATAAAATATTAGATGTTGGCACCTCCACATCATTGCATTCAGTTTTTATTCACAATTTGTTTAGTGTCCCAACTTTTTTGGAATCCGGTTTGTATATGTACATGTATAATGTCTATTTATGTTGCTTTGCAGTGGTAGGTTTTTTGATGCCTCAAATCGTGCCCTGTCTAGGACATGGCGTGAGAGATCTTTTTTTTTATACCGTCTCTCCTCGTGTTTTCTTCCCTTTCTCATCTAAGCAAAATATTATTATGGATAAGAATAAGAAGACCACGTTATTTATAGCTGCAACATTGTGCACTCTGCTCATCTTTTGGATGACTGTACGTACATATTCGCGTTGTCTCTCGGTGCAATGCCAATAAAGTTTATTCTGATTCTGTATCTGAGATTGCTGAAATAAACCAAAAGAAAGTTGACACAAACTCTGCAGAACATTAGAGTCTGACTGGAATGGAAACACACCCAACAGCTTATTATTCACACTGGACATCTCCAGATGTCACAGTTTATACACAGATATGACTTTTAATCCCCCTATGATCTTTTTAAACAAATGTAGTATTGTTCAAACCTTATAGCACATCAGAAGGTATCTTAAGAGAGATGAGTCTAGTTGGCAACCTCGATTACACAATGATCAAGAGGTTATATATATATATATATATATATATATATATATATATATATATATATACACACACACACACACACACACATGTATGTATATACATATATATATAAATATACACATACATACATACATACATACATATATATATATATATGTATATGTATATATATAAACATATACACACACACGCACAAAGAATGCTTCATGTTTTACACAGATGAAAAGACATTGTCTTTTCAGACAAACTCCATATGTTAAAATGCACCCCAGTGAAGGTTCACCTTCAAGTACCTGACAAGATAAATGGATCCACCTTTGAATTATGGACAGTTTTAAATGGTGATACAAGCCGACATTAACTATGGGATTTAACAGAATGTCTTAAAGGAGTTGTGATGAGAGCTGGAATTATCTTACAGCAAGTGCCCTGCAGTTTTTAAAATATAGTCTTAGTGTTAAATTAAAGAAATGCAGATTAAAATTGGTAATTTTATGTTTTCAAAAGAAATTTTCATTTTAACTGTGCCTGTCTCTTAAAAAAATTCTGGTTAAACAAAGATTATGTTTGAGGATTATTTTATTAATGTGATTTGTATAGCTTGAACAACATTAACCCTTCACAGGTCTCTGGAGCAGTGCTGAACTAAAATAACTACTGTGAATGCTTTTTAGGCTGTATGCTTCAAACGAGTTGCTGACAGAGGTTGAGAGTCAAATGACGGGGTTTGAAGCATGGAGGCCAGACAGGTGTCCGAGGAAATGCCCCTGATGAGGGGGAATGGAGTGGCGTGCCAGGGAGGAAAAAGTCACCGGTTCTACTCCCTGAGCTGAAAACATCACGCATCAAATGAGGATGTTATCAATTGTCATGAATGAGGGTTTTTTTAAGGTTCATACTGATCTGGCGGACAGTTTAAGTAACATAAAACTAACATCACTTATCATTATTAACATTGAATTAACGTTACCAGCACAGTAAAGGGTTTTCTATTTTCTGATTTTGCTTTTAAACATAGATGGAGGAGCGTCTTTAAAATATATCTTTAGCCAATTAAACACTGTGACACAGTGAACTTACTGATTTTTTTAAACTATGAGTTAATAAATTGATTGATAGACTAGAATTTTAGGATTTTTACATGTACTGAAATGATTATAGAACACTGTTTTGAAATTACAAATATTTATAGGTTGTGTTTTCAATGGTAATCAATTAATGATGTGATTATATGTGAAACTACGTACTTGGTAAATTTTTCACAATTAAGTACAGATGTGTACTTTAGAATTATGGTTAAATTGAATGTTGAACTCAGCATTGATTGGGTGACAGGTCTTCTCCAACTACTGAGAGATGAGATGATTGATGGACTGACTAATTATGAGATGGGTTTAATAAATACAGCGTTTACAGCTTATTAACAGTACTATGGAGTGTTATGATTTTTTCCTTAAAATTAACATGGTTGAACTAGATTCTTATGCATGACAGTCAAATATTACCTTTTTTAATTATTACTTGATGATATTTTTATTTAATGACTTATTTATGTGAAGACATGGGTAAAAAGGAAATTTTAATGCGTTTTCTGCTAATTTTAAGGGCTGATTGTGATGAAATAACGCCACTAGATGGTGGAATTGCGATGATAAACTTAATTTTTGACATTGTTTTCTATGAAATAACAAATTTTTACAGCTGATGGCCATGGAGAAGGGACCAGAGAGTATAATAAATACATAAAATGTTTTTTTATACTATAGATTTTCCAGGGGGTGAACTTATGACACCTTTCAATACAAATTGATATTAAATTAAAGGGTGATGAATTGGGTAAATTGATCTGTTGGTTAATTGGGAATGTTTTATATTAGATCACCAGGGGGAGTTGGGAGGTTCTGTTATTTACATACATATGCACGTGAAAACGTGTTAAATGTTTAAT